TATGCATGTATGCATGTATGCATGTAGGTATGCATTTACGTATGTGTGCATGCGTGTATGTGTGTATGTATGTATGTTTGTGCACATGTGTAGGTATGTATGTACGCATGCATGTGCGCACGTATGTACGCACGTTCGTAACCGTGCATGTATGTGCGTGTGGACGTATGGATACTTGCCTGTATCTATGCATGTATGTACGTATATATATCTGTCTGTCTGAATGTATGTATGTATGCATACATGTATGTATGTATGCATGCATGTATGTATGCATTTATGTTTATATGTATGTATGTATGTATGTATGTATGTATGTATGTATGTATGTATGTATGTATGCATGTACATATATATAGGTGTGTTTGTATGTATGTAATTATGTATGTATGAATGAATCCATGTTTGTAGCTTTCTAGATTGTTTTCTGTGCGCCAGTTGCGTCATCTGCTTTCTAGATGGTTTTCTGTGCGGCAGTTGCGTCGTCAGCCTCGTCTCGGCTGTATTATGTCATGCTCAGGCTCAGGTCACCTCGCGGTGGCTTGTTCTGCCAGCGCCACGATCCGCGCAGAGCTCGCCTCGTGCGTGCAATCCTCGGTGCTGCTGGGCTCGCTGGCGCTCTACTGGGGCCAGGCGACCTGGTGGTCCGCGGCCCCGCACGCGCCTGGGGTCCTCGGGGCCCTGGGCGTCGCGGGCGCGCGAGGCGTCGTCGGCGCTGGGCAGCGGCTGGAACGCCGCCACGGCCTGGGGCTGGGCCACCTTACAGGTGCTCGGCTTCTCCCTCAGCGCCGTGGCGGCGTTCGCATGGGAGCATCGGGGGGCGGCGGCGCGCGGCGGCCGCGACTGTGGAAGGGCCGCCCGAGGGGCGGCTCGCGCGGGTTGGTGCCTGTGCGTTCGACTTGCTGTGCCTGCTCGTGGCAGTCAGAGGGCTCGGCGGGCCGAAGGCGTACGTCGGCGCGAGTTCGCAGAGGCGTCACCCGCTCTCGAGTACGTGCTGCTGGAGATGGCGTTGGCTAAATGCGTCGGCGGCGTTTCTGTCGGTGCCGCGGCGCCATGTTGGGAACTGGTCTCGCGGTCGGAGGAGCACGACAACGTGCTGCACTTCGGCCAGGTGCGCGGCCAGGACCGCGGTCTGTGGCTCACGACCGACGCGGCGGGGAGCAACGTCGTCTGGGTGCTGGTCCAGTTGGTGCCCAGCCATCTCAAGGCGGCGATCGTCCCTGGTGGTGGCGCCCTGTGGGCGGCCTCCTTCGGCGTGCCCGACTGCGGGGTCAATTTGGGTCTGCGCGCCGTCCCATGCGGCGGCCCAGTGGGGCCCCGGTCGGCCCGAGCCGGCGGCGCTGCGCGTGGAAACTCGGGGAGAGCGGACGCCGCGCCCCGGTCAGCACCAGTTCTGCCCGGGCCCGCGTTCGAGGCGGGCTCGCAGCTGCCCGCGATCCGGACCTGCACAATCGTGGGCGGCCTGCTGCCTGCCGCAGGGGCATGGGCGCTGGTGGCAGCCCCGCCAGCGGGAATGGCTGTGGCCCCCAGCGCCAGGGCTGCGGGGCCAGGCTCGGTTGGGGCGGCACCAGGAGCTGCCGCGGGTCTGGGCCTCGCGGCGGTGGGCGCACCCGACGGAGCTTGAAGGGGCAGAGGCCGCAGCTGGGCCCCCCGACCTCACCGAGATGCCGCTCGAGGTTCGAGCCGCCCAAGGCCAAACCCAGGGTGGAGCTGGAGCGAAATCCTCGTCCAAAGACAATGAGAGCAATGACAAGGACAACACCGCCGACAAACATAAGAAGCATAAGAAGAACGACTGCAGCGACGACTCCACCAGCAATGGCAGCTCGGGCTCGTCGTCCGACAGCAGCGACTATCTGCAGTGGAAGGGCCCGGCGGTGAAGAACAGGCGGGTGAACCTCGCCAGTGGGCGCATTCTGGAGACCGAGAAGGTCGAGGCCAGGGGGGGCCTCCTCGCGTTCGGGTCCAAGCATCCAGGTGCCCTCCCGGGTTACTTTCTCGCGCTGGTGCGTGGCGAGCTGAGCCGCGGGCGCCTCTCGGAGGCCAAAATGCTGCGCCGGGCGTCGGTGTCCACATGGGCGCAGGCTCACGCGGGCCTGGTCGAGCTGCGCGACCTGCGCGAGGTGCAGACGCTCGCGCTGGTCATGGACCTGGTCAACACGGACGACTTGGCGACTGCGATGGACGAGGTGGCCTAGGGGGTCAGCGCCATCCAGCGGGCCAAAACCAAGGGCGTCTCCTGGGGTACGGCCGAGTCGGTGGAGATGCCGGTGGGCACGGGTGGGGGTCGCCGCAAGGGGGCCCCTGAGGCTCGCCGTGTGATGAGGTGGAGGAGGGCGCGGCAGAGATGGCTGCGCCGCGGTGGTCAGGAGTTCAGCCTGGCTTTCGTCGTGGTCGGTTTTGGTGACTGGCTGTGCTCTGCTTGCGGCCCCTTGGGGATGCCGCTCCGTTCTGGACACCTTGGGCGGCCTCGCGTGCTGGAGATGGGCAAGCCCCCCATCGGTGGTCCTTCCAGTCCCACTGCTTCGGCGTCGCGGCGCCGAGCTCGTAAGTTTCGGGCACGGGCGCA